GGGCTTGAATTCCAGCCGCTTTACTTACTTACTGTTTATTCTTAAGCAAGTTAACCTCCCTTGAGTTCTCATCTATAAAATGGGGGTAATGGTATCTGACTCTTCAGATTGTTGTAAGGGTTAAATTAGTTAATATACATAAAATACTTGCTGCTTGGTCATATAGTAAATTCTCAAGAAGTGGAACTGTTGGCGTAACGATGACAGTGATGATATTAAGAGTAGTAGTGGCATTGCAACACTGTGCTAAATATTGTGTTAGGTGCTCAGCCAGATTCATCAAAGAATGTTGAAAAGGTCCTTGGTCTCGTGGAAAGTTTATATTCTCCTTGGAATAAAAACTAAGAAGACTTCCTTAGACTATCTAGAAAAGGCCTATGAAAGAGGCTTAGTGTCTACCAGTTCAATAAGGAGCAGGGAATAGCCAAGTTGAGAAATGTTGAGGCTTCAGGAACCTATAAAGCTTTGCTGTGTTGTTTATGTTATCTATTGTCCTGTAGGTAATTAGTAAAATAAAAAAAATAATAATACACAAAATGGCTTGTCTAGTTTCAAGGGAGAGCATAGAATGTAAGTATAATCATTTCCTTTCTCACAGTCTATCTTGGGCTCTTTGACCTCCATGACTACCACATCTTTATTTCAGATAGAGTCTCTCTTCCTGAGGTCCAGCCCTGTGCCTCCAACTACTTCCTAGCTCTACTTACTGAGCTATCTTGTATGCACCAAATAATATGGCTAAAACAAATCTTCCTTACTTCCAAACCTGCTTCTTACATATAGCCACTATTGCTTCCAGGACTGTCACTAGCCAGTCAGCTGTTTAACCTCAGTATTGGAGGTAGGCGTCTTTGACCTCACCTTCTTCATCCTCTCCACTCACTTACTCCATTCTCTCAATTTTACTTCTCAACCCTATCCGCTGTCCCATTGTCTTGCTGCCCTGGTTTAGACCTGCCCTGTATTTGTACTCCAAGCATGAATTCCAAACACAGTGACTGGACCTTTAATACACTTCATTTCATATTCATGACAACTTTATGAGGTAAGTCATTTTGTAGTTGAGAAGCCAGAGAGAGACAGATACAAATTCACTTGCCCAGTTTAGTAAACCAAGGTTGCTCTTAGTCTAGACTATAGCGTAATTTCCTTGTCTCCTTTGATTTATTTCCCCTTTTTTGATGTTTGAAAGTAAGAATGTATGTGAAAAAAAGAATAATATAAAGTAAGAAATGAAAGTTAGCCATTCCTAATTCTACTCCTAAAGAGAAATCAGCAGTGACGCTTTTTGTTCTAAGCCTTTCTTCTTTGCATAGATGCATGTGTCTTTTAGCGGGCAGAATTTGGGGTGCCCTAAGATCCAAACCTGTCTGCTTTAAATGGGTTCTGCCATCTGCCTCATCAAGGCAAAACATACTCTAGTGTGTAAGACCTTTAATGAAAAATAACTTTAGTACAACTAGTGTGCAATAGAGAGAAGAGAAAGAATATAGTAAAAATAGTGTCCAATTAAACACCCAAAGTTATCCATCTCCTCATTGGTAAATGCTCAGCCAAACAGGGTTGGCCCAAAGCGGGGCCACTGAAGCCTGAAAGTTTGCCACAAGTCTAAGGAACCTTCTAGTGGGGACCCACAGGAAAGGGACAGAAGTAGCCAGGCAAATCTGGAAGGAAAAGAGCAAAATCAAAATACAAGTTAAGACAAAGGCAATTGACAATTGACATTGTCAATCTCCCTGGGTCTCTCACCCACATCTCTGTCTCTTTCAGTTGTCTCCTTACATGTTCCCCAAGTCCCTGGTACAGGTCCAAGGCTGAGAAACAAGTGTGGCTTCTTCTTCAGATGTCTCTCTGCTCTGTGCCTCCTCCAGCCCTCTCCTTCCTTCCAGTCTTCGTCTTCTTCAGCTTCCCCTCCCAGCTCAGCTCCAACCTTCCTCAAGGTGGGGCAGGGAACCTGGAAAGTCCCCTTTCCCTGGGAATTACACTGTCACATGTAGATAAATAGATCTAGGGACCATTCACTATAGTCCTACAACTACTTTCTTCTACGCAGGGATGTACTTTCATACAGATCTATCACATTTAAAAAAATGGATGCATAGTATGCCGTTATATAGAAGTATTTGTTTAATAATCCATCTGTTAAAATAAAGATCACTTACTTTTGCTCTTACAAATAATGTTCCAGTAATATTCTTATACATATATCCTTGCATGTACATTTGTATGACTATTTCTACTAGGTAGATTCTTAGAAGTGGTATTACTGGCTAAGTAGTGTGCATATTTTATAATGTGTTATATTCTTTTTTAAAAAAGATTTATATATACAAGAACCAGGGTACAGGCCAGATGTGCGGGAGGGTGAGAGGATTCACCAGAGACAGAGCAGGGAACAGAACAGGCAGACTGACTGAAATACACTGCTGAGTGGAGCAGTGGGCGAGACAGGAGAGGTCTGCTGTGCCATGTGGGTATCTCCCCGGATGGACAGGATCGAACCTGTTGTGCCCAGCGTCAACAAGTGCAGCCCCCAAGGACACACAGTCAGCTGATGCAAGAACACAAAGGAGTTTATTTCGGGCTCGAGTCCGGGCTCACGACTCACACCGACACAGCGGCAAAGATAGAGAGCCCTGAACAAAGGGAGCGGGGATCTTTTATAGGGTTACAAGCAAATCTAAAAAATTAAATCATCTTGGCAACCATTCATTAGTTATACAGGTGCATTTCCTAACAACTGTGGGCACATGGTTTATTTTATGGCTGGTTTGACCCCATTAGTTGTCCCCATTAGTGTTTGGCTCCACTGTGGCTGGCCGTCCGAGATAAGAGATAAGGCCAGTGTGGGGGTGAGGGTCGAAACCTTCTCTGGAATGCAAGCTATTCAGTCTTGAGTAAGCAAAACTTAAAATGCTAAAATGGTGGTTATACACAAGATGGAGGAACAGTGGCTAGGTCTCACAGAACCCGCACTGCAGAGGCTGTGGACAGCTTCACAGCGCTGCGCTCAACTGCCTGCACTACCAGGGAGGCCCACTGTGTTATAGTCTAACCAATTGTACTTCAATTTGTTCTTTGTCTCAATTTTTCATACTATAACTAGAGTGATTTTTGAAAAATGAATTTGGTCATGTCATGTCCTAATGTCAAAAACAAAGCAACAGCAAAGATGTTTGATGGATTTCTATTGTCTATATGATATATGATAAATTTTAAAATTCTTAATTTTTTGGGCCTCCCTGGTGGTGCAAGTGGTTAAGTCACAGCACTATGAAACTATCCACAGCCACTGCAGCATGAGTTTGATCCCCAGCCAGGGAGGTGACCCACATGGCACAGCAGACCTCTCCTGTCTCGTCCGCTGCTCCCCTCAGCAGTGTATTTCAGTCTGCCTGTTCTGCTCCCCATTCTGTCTCTGGTGGATCCTCTTAACCCTTCCCCTGCTCCTCTTGTTATAGGACAGGGAGAGGGGCAGCCCAAACCCCGCAAACCTGCCTATTCTACATGGGTTCTGCCATCCGCCGCATCAACACAAAACATAGGAGACTTTAATGGGAAGGAACTTTAATAAAACTAGGAAACAATACAGGAAAGACAAAGAGTCTAGTTTCTAAATGAAGCATCCAGAGTTACCCGTCCCCTCGTGGGTAAAAGTCCATCCATATGGGATTGGCCCAGAGCAAGGCCCCAAAGCCTGCCACAAGTCTAAAGCATCTTCCAGTGGGGACCCACAGAAAAGGGTCACAAACAACCGGACAAGCCCGGAAGGAAAAGAGCAAAATCAACATCAAGATAAAAGCTGCCATTGTCACCTCCCCACGGGTCTCACCCACATCTGTCTCACCCAGTCCACGACCAAAAGACAAGCACAGTTTCTTTACGTGTCTCTAGGCTCCATGCGCCTCCTCCAGGTCTCCTTCTGGCTCCATCCTGCTCCTTCCTTCCTTAGTCTCTTCTGCCGCTTCTCTTCTTCCTGCTCAGCTCCACCCTCCCTTGGGTGGGGCAGGGAACCTCCCCCTTTCCTGGGGGCCACCCTGTTACACTCTGGCCTGCACCCCAGCTCTTGTGTGCAGAAATAAATAAATCTTTAAAAAATAAAATAAAATTCTAATTTTTTAAATGAGTACTTAAACATATATTTCCTACCACTCTTGCCCATTAGCAAACTCTGATTTATAAGGCAAAATGCATTTTTTTGGGTAAAATCTTCCATGTATACAGCTCTTTCTCTTCCCACCACACAAAATAGAATTAATTGGTTCTTTCTCTAAGGTCCCATGACACTGAATTGTTATCCCTCTGAGAGCACTTAGTACATTGTACTGTATTTATGTGTGTCTGTTGCCCTCTACTAGTCTGAGAATTTCTTAAGGACAGGAACCTTGTCTTACTCATCTCTATCCCTAGCACTTTGCACAATGCCTGTCAGAGTGGGTTCTCAACAAACTGTGAGATGATAACAATATTCCTGAGGTAGGGTTAACAATAAGAACCTTGAGAGATAAAGTACGTGATGGAAGTTTTGAAATGTAGCAGAGATTTCACTGATTTTTGGGAATATGGAAGCTAGTCTGCAAAGGAGAAATAAGCTTAAGTCGGCAGAAGTCCCATGTGGTTTTCTCCTCTGCTAAAGAGACCATCTATCTGATTTTTTGGGGGTTGATAGGCTTAGGACTTGAGAATATTTAAAATATTGAAAATTGGATAATCGAAGACCCATTTGGTGTATTTTCCAGACTAAGATGCTTATGCTCAAAGGCAGCCCTTTCCCAAGGTCACAAATAAGTTTTTCTTTTTGAGAAATTAAAGCCTCTTCATTTTCAGGGCAGGAATAAGGGGGGGAGTAGGAGTGGCAAATAGATCAGATACTCCTCCATTGTCTCTTTTGCTTGGCCCAAGGGGGAAGTAACTTGCTGAAAGGCCCGAGGGCTGTAGGCCTATTATGGAGTAAATGATCTGCATAAAATGAGTTCTCATCTTTTTTTTTTTTTTCTCAGGTAACTCTAGTAGCTCTCCTGGTCTGGCACTTTGAAGAAAGAAGAAAGAAGAAAAAACACGATAAGTCATGTCAGAGATACTTGACCTCTCTTTTCTGTCTGAGGTGGAAAGGGATTTGATCCTCAATGTTCTACAACGAGATGAGGAGCTCCGGAGAGCAGATGAGAAAAGGATCAGGTTAGAGTCCCAGAAAAGTGTGGGTTCCCACTTGTTTGACCAATGATATCCAGACTTTCTTTCTTTGTCACATCTGAATTTCAAAGGGACTTTCCTATGAGGCTTTACAACCCCTCACAGGGTGATACTGGGTTCTGAGGTTGTTGCTTTCATGGAACCAAATAACCTTACTTCTACCCCACTGCCCCTCTCCATCCACCTATGTGGATCCTGACTCCAAGTGTGCTTCTCTTTTGGGTCTTGGCAGACGACTGAAGAATGAGTTACAGGAGATAAAAAGGAAGGGGGCCAAGAGGGGCAGTCAGCACTACAGCGATCGGACCTGTGCCCGATGCCAGGAGAGCCTGGGTCGCTTGACTCCCAAGACCAACAGCTGTCGGGGTTGCAATCATCTGGTGTGTCGGGAATGCCGCATCCAGGAGACCAATGGTACCTGGAGGTGCAAAGTGTGTGCCAAGGAAATGTGAGTGTCACGTATGGCTGAGTAGGGAGGAAATGAGGCTGTGCCCTTGGTGAGGATTTCTCTCCCCTGCTGTTGTTGGTTGAATGGTAAGAGCCATTCTTTATCCACCTGGCTTTTTTTTTTTATTCCTTCCCAGAGAGTTGAAGATGGCAACTGGAGACTGGTTTTATGACCAGAAAGTGAATCGCTTTGCTTACCGCACAGGCAGTGAGATCATCAGGATGTCCCTGCGCCGCAAGCCTGCAGGTACCAAACCTGTGTGGGGGCTGGTTCCTTGAGGTGCTTCACCTCCATCTTTAGTCATAGGTCCTCGGGTGTGGAATCCTAGTGTATTCTCACTGATAGTGTCTTAACTCCTTGGGCTCAGCCTATTTGTTGGGGAATATAAAAGATTACATTGCCATCCTTTCTACAAGCGTGGTATGGCTCCCTTTCCGCTCTTATCACCACCATTCTGCCTTGCTTTTGTTTTGTTTGTCTTGAAGCCAATAAAAGAGAGACAGTGGGACAGTCCCTCCTTCACCAGGCACAGGTGGGCAATATCTGGCCAGGAAGAAAGATCATTCAGGAGCAACAGAAGGAGCCCAGGGAACTCAGGTAAGAACCAAACAACCATTTAAAAGAAACATTACGTATTCCTTTAATTCCTTGGGTTTTTTTTTTTTTTGCTTCTTTCTATTTATGTAATAATAGGTGTTTAAATTATAGGAAAATTTGAAAAGTAGAAAAAGAAAGGAGGAAAAAATTCCTAATCCTCCTTCTGACATGTAAGCATTAATATTTTGACATATTTAGTTTGTTATTCATAACAACACTTTGAAGACAAATAAAAACACATACTTATTATTGAAATTTTAATCATTATAGGCAACAATTCATTCCAATTTCACATTTTGTGAAATTATTTCAGGTACCTTTTATACAAGGTAGGTGGGTAGGTAGGTAGGTAGATAGACTGAAAAAACTTTGCAATATTGGATCATAATATATTAAATTAAGAGTATTGAGTTTAATTTTATATGAATTAAACAATAAACCACTGAGGTAAAATTAAAAAATTGCTAGTGTTCAGACAAATGTTTGTTTACTGTAAAATGTATTAGTTATTAACATCCTCTAAGTTTAAGAATAAACATGATAAAAACCACTGAGCACTTAGTCATTTTTTTTCTGGTGTCTTTTTGGTAAGTCTTACTCAGATGTAATTCACCTACCATGCAGTTTACCCACGTATAGCCTACAGTGCAATGGTATTTAGTATATTTACAAAAATCATGCAACCATCACTTCAGTCAATCTTTAGATTTTTTTTTAATCATCTTACAACAAAACCCTGTACCCTTTAGATAACACTCCCCCACCCTCCCAGTCCTTCCCCATCCCTAAGCAATCACCTATTTATTTTCTGCCTATCTCTATTTGCCTGTTTTGGACATTTCATTTCAATAGAATCATAGCAATATGTGGTCCTTTGTGATTGCCTCTTTTCACTTTTCAAGTTTTATGCATGTTTTAGCATGTATCTGTACTTCATTTGTTTTTATTGCCAAGCACTATTTTATTATATGTATATTCCACAAATGATTTATCCTTTCGTCTGTTGATGGATCTTTAAGTTATTTCTGCTTTCTCACTATTAAGAGTAATGCTGCTGTGGACATTTGTAGTGAGTTTTTATATAGACATGTTTTCATTTCTCTTAGGTAGCTACTTAGGAGTAAAGTTCCTAGGTCAAGTGGTCCGTTGGTCATTTTTAAAACTTATCTCTTTCAATGTTAGATATTATCAATGGACTCTGCTCTGCAAGGGGAGATTAGCTTTTGTACACTTGTTCCCAACTCTTTCCCCTATTCCCATTTTTATTACTCAAATTATTTTTACTTTGTCAGAATTTACAACATTTATATTCTGTTTTGCAACCATTAATCATCTGCTTGTTTATCTGTTCGTTTAGTTATCGCTGAAATTTAAAAGGATTATATGCTGACAACTGAGCCTGAGACCATGGCATCTCTATATTTCTGAATTCTTTGGTTTATTTCTTGGTGGTCTGGATTTTATCATTGAGAAGGAAGGGCGTGTGGGTGCTATATTTATTTCACTCTTTCATGTTCAAAATGTCTGCCTAGTATGTTTATATTTGAACCATATCTTGGCTGGGTCACACTTTCCCTCAGAATGTAGCTGTTGCTCCATTGTCTTCTGCCACTGAATCCGTGAAGAAGTCTGAAGCCAGCTGGCCTCTTGTATTTCTCCTTTGTAGTAGTTTTCGCTCTCTCTCTCCCCCTCTGTGTGTGTGTGTGTGTGTGTGTGTGTGAGTGAGAGAGAGAGAGTGTGTGTGAGAGAGAGAGAGATGGAGAGAACTTGTATATACATGAAAAGTTCCTTTTATTTTTCTTGAAGTTTAGTAACTTAACAAGGATATATCTCACTGGTCATCATCATGTATAACTCTTTGCAGTATGTGGTATACTCTTGATCTTTCATTGTAGGAAAATTTTCCATATCATGTCCTCAGAATTCTTTTTCTGTTTCGTTAGTTAAGGTTGCCACCTCAGGGACACTGGAATTATTTTAGCTTCTGTTTTTTTTCCTCACTATTTCCTGCAGTCCAAAAAAAGAAAACAGTGAAATCAATTAACCATAATTAGGCCAACCCTTTCTGCCATGCTATTACTTTGATTTTCAGCCATTTTCTTTCTTCCTTCCCCTCCCACCTGGCTCCTTCCCAGGTCTTTTTGCTATCTCTATTTATTTGAATAAATTGCCATGTTTAGGTTTTTTTTTTTTTTTAAAGATTTATTTATTTATTTATTTATACAAGCACTGGGTACAGTCAGAAGTGCGGGAGGGTGAGAGAATTCACCAGAGTGGGGAACAGAACAGGCAGACTGATGAAACACACTGCTGAGGGGAGCAGCGGGTATGGCAGGAGAGGTCTGCGTGCCATGTGGGACCCTCACTGGTGGCCAGGGATTGAAGTGGTGCTGCAGAGGCTGCGGGCAGCTTCGCAGCCCAGCGCTCAACTGCTGCGCCACCGGGGAGGCCCTTGTTTAGGTTTAATTTGTTCTTTGTTTTCAACCTTCCTTTTCCTCTAATTTTGTTGCTTTGTCATCTTCGTATTTGAGTTCTTGTGCTTTATCAAACCTATATTCTTATCAAGTTCCTCTGTAATATAAAGCACTCGCAAGCAATTTGCTGCTTTTTCATAGGGTTAGATTCTGCTCCAGATAGACTCTTTGTCTATCTTACAAGTTGTTTCTACCTCTCCCTACATCATGGCATATTTTTATATCTGCCAGACTATTTCTTTTCATTGTATTCATGTGTAACATGGGAAGTTCTGCCTTTATCTTTGTTTGCTCTATGCAGTGCCTGTGACTTCTTGACAGGCCTCTCATCTCAAATGGAAATGGTTTATCTCTTTCCCACACCCAGCTATGCTTTAGTTTTAGGATAGAACATTGCTTTCCATTTGCTTTTTACTAATCTGATGGGCAGGGCGGCACAGAATTTAGGGGTCCTGGCTTTGATCTGAAATTCTCTTAAATATCCTGGTCCAGAGTTGGTGCTATCCAACTCTAAAATCTTGAGGACTTTTATTTCCCTTGACTCATGTCAGGACTGCCTGCTCCCTTGCTTAGTCTGCATCGCCCCACCATTGGAAGCAGTTTTGCTGAGCTAAACTTAGCTTCTTTTTCCTTAGCTGTTACTTTGGAACTTTGTGACTTGAGGATTTACTCATTGCCTCATTCCATTGCTGCTGGTGAATGTTTGGGTTTTTGTGTTTTCTAACTTTCTCTCAAAGAAAAATGACTTTTTCACATTTTATATGATTGTTAAAAAGAAGTAGAGGAATATATAAAGCAAGTCACCAGTAATTTCACTGCCTCTACCCAAACAATTCTTGCTAATAGTTGTTTAATAGTTTTTCTGTATGGACTGCCAAATGTCTAACTGTATAAATATGGGTTGGATTTTAATTTTGTAATTTCTCTTAAAAGTAAAACCATACTATACACCTGGTCAGTAAAAAAAATGACAGAAAAAGAACTTGAAAACAGTAATACTGATAATCCAATAGACCATGGGCCAAAGATTTGAACAGACATCTCACCAGAGATGATATATAGGAGTCAAATAAGCACATGAAAATATACGCAACATTATTAGTTATTTGGTAAATTCCATTAAAATGACAATACTACTATATGAACTAGAATGACTGAAATTAAAAAGGCCAACCATACCAATTATTAATGAGGATGGAGAGCAATTAGAATTCTCACACATTGCTTATGGGAATAAATAATGGTGCAGCTTCTTTGGAAAGCAAATTAACTTGTGCACCTGTCTTGTGATTCAACCATTTCATTCCTAGGTATTTACTCAAGAGAAATATAAGCCTAACGCCATAGAAAGATTTGTGTGAATGTTGAAAGCAGCTTTATTTACAGTAGCCAAAAAAGCTGGAAACAGCCTAGATATCCATCAGCAGGTAATTGGATAAGCTTTGGCTTGTTTCTGCAATGGAATACTACTCAGGAATGGAAAAGGACAGACTACTGATGCATGCAGCGACATGGCTGCATCTCAGAATGAGCATGCTGAGGGAAAGAAGCCAAACAAAGAGTAGAACACACTGTATGATTCTGTTAATGTACAATTCTAGAAAACAACCTAAATTTTAGTGATAGAAAGCAGATCCACACTGCCTATGGACAGAGACAGGGAGGGAGGGATGAATTATGAAGGGACAAAAGGAAACCTGTGAGGGTGATAGTTGTATTCAGCTAACTTAATTGTGGTGGTGGATATATACATATGTCAAAGTTCACCAAATTGCACACTTAAACATGTGTAGCTCATTTACGTCAGCTATCACTCAAAGTATAAAAGGAAAAAATTGCAGGAAGATATCACATGGACATCTTTCCACATCAGCACCAAGGGTCTGCTCTTTCTTTTTGCTATATGTATGGTGTTTCATTGTATGTATATTCCGTGACTTTTTCCACTCAGCCTTGGATGAGTGACTCATCTGTTTTAGGTGATGGGGCCCCCTTTATCCTCTGCGGATAAGGACAAGGATGGCTTTTATTTTCTGAACCTGATTAACAAATCTGACATCATCGGTCAGAATGCAATTTCTGAAACCTACTGCTTCTGGCTGTCTAGGACCTCTTGTCTTATTGGACCCAGAAGACTCTTATTTATGCTAAACATGGGAACAGATTAAGTGACCATAAGTGATCTTTTCCATAAAATTATGGAGCTTCAGAGATAATCTAATTCAACCCCCTTACTTTTACAGAAAAGAAAGCAGGATAAGTGATTTACCTGAGATCATACAGATAGTTAAAGTCCAGGGTTCCCGTCTCTTAGTCTATTTTTTACTGCACAGATGTCAAATAATTGCTTTTTTTGCCCTAGGGTGGTTTGTATCAGCTCTGGATCAGGGCATATTAATCTTTAGGAAAAAATATAAGCAGAAAGCACTCTCCATGGGCCATTGATAGACTCTCTTTCTAGAGGAATGGTTCTGTTTTGAGTTTTTTATTCTTTGGAGGAAAAAGGTAAAAAGAATGATTCTAAAGTAAAAATGGAATGGATCTCCCTGCTGTGTATTGTACTATAAAGCTAACACATCTCTGAGCAACTGAGCTGTCTCACCATTTGCATGTGCTAGGATTTCAGCTCCTGCTGTCTGTTTTCATAGAACTATCTCAAACATCATGTAATAACTTGAAAGTTGATTTTTTACTGCCGGAGACAGTTATATATTTTGGCTACTTTGTTTTTGTTAATTCATTACTTTGTTCATTTGTTTAACAAGTATCTATGAATGTGTACTATTTGCCAGGCACTGTTTGAGGCAGCGAGATGCACTAGTGAATCCAACCCAGTCCCTTGCCTGTGCCACTTAGATTTGGGGGTGAATATTCATTGTACATATAACGTATATTGTACATCTAACTTTCACAAGTGCTATGGAGAAAGTGAAGGACACTAAAAGGGTAGGGAATGCCAGGAAAGCACATATGTACATATGGCTTTTTATTTAGGATCAGCAGGGAAAAGCGTTACTATACTAATAAGGTGACATTTGAATAAAGACATGAAGCAAATGAATGCACAAACCTAGAGAGTATCTGGGGGGACAGCACTCTAGACGGTGGGGCAGCAGGTATAACAACCATAAGGTGACTTTGTGCTTGACAAGTTTGAGTAATCTGGAACTGAGTGAGGGGAGAGGTAGGAGGTGGGGTAAGAAGCAAAGCATATGAGACCTTTGGCCCTTGGAAAGAATCCAAGTGAAAAGGGGGCCTCTGAATAATACTGTGGGTTTTTTTTTTCCTTTTGTAAAAATTGAGGTAAAATTCACTTAACATAAAGTCCTTCATTTTACTTAACATAAACTGTTAAAGTACACAGTTCAGTGGCTTTTCGTGCCTTCAGTACTTTCAGAATGTTGTGTTTTTCTAATTTCAGAACCTTTTCATCTCTCCCCAAAGAAAATCCATACCCATCAAGCAGTCACCCCTCATTTCCCCCAGCTCCTAATCTGCCTTCTGTCTATGGATTATTTGCCAGTTCTGGACATTTCATATAAATGGAATCATACAAAATGTGACTGTGACTGGCTTCTTTGACTTCACATGTTTTCATGGTTTATCCCTGTTGTAGAATGTATCAGAAATCCATTAGCTTTTTATTTCATTGTATGGATAGACTATATTTGATTTACCCATTCATTCCCTTATGGGAAGTTGAGCTGTTTCCACCTTTTGGCTATAGTGAATGATGCGGCTGTGAGTATTCATGTAAAATTTTTTGAGTGGAAACATATTTTCAGCTATCTTGGGTAGATACCTAAGAGTAGAATTGCTGGGCCATATGGTAATTCTATATTGGATTTATATTTTAAAAGCTCATTTTGCTGTTGTGTTGGGGAGAGATTTCATGGGAATAGTGGCAAAAGCAGGGAAATCCATTAGGAGGCTATTGCAACCATCTATGTGGTAGATGATGGCAGTGTGGACCAGAGTAACGACAGCAGAGGAATAGTAAACTGGCCAGATTCTAGATATACATCAAAGATGGAGTAAAGGGATACATGGAATTTGTACTGTGAGAGAATGAGAGGCATCTAGGATGATTCTCAAGATTTTTGACCTGAGAAATGAAAGGAGGGTATTGTCATTTGGAAGGAAGAACAGGTTTGGGGATTGATTGTGGCTTTTTGTTTTAGACTTGATGTATTTGAGACATCTGAGCAGAGATGTCTAGTAGGCCATTGGCAATACAAGTCTGGCATTTGAGGGAGAGATAAATTTAGGAGTTATTGGTTTATAGAGGATATTTAAAGCCATGAGACTACCTGAGATCACTTAGGGATAATTTTAGAGAGGCTGTCCGAGGAATAAGCCTGGGCACAGTCCAGAGATTAGAGGTCTGGGAGATGAGGAGGGACCGGTAAAGGAGACTGAGAAGTAGCAGCCAGTGAGGTCAGAGTAGAAAACCAGCAGAACGTAGTGTCCTGGCAGCCAAGTACAATTACTTGAGATACTTGATGTACTGTCCCCTTTTCTTTTGCTCTCACAAATTCTGAGGTAGGGAGTCCAGGAATGGTGAGATAATGGGTCTAGGCATCCCTTTAGGGTACCTAGGGTCACCCTTCATTAAGCTGAAAAAGAATTCTGCTCTGAATAGTGTCATCAAAATGACTGCTTCTTTATGATTTACCTTAATCCCCACTGAGGGTATTGAGGCAAGAATTCAGTCAACACATGTTTGAGAGCTCTCTTTAAGCTAATTTCTCTTCTAGGCATTGGGGAACACAGCAGCAAACAAGATGATATGGTCACTGATCCCAGGAAACTTAGTTAGGTGGAAGAGAAGGACATTAAAAATCATTTGTTCAAATTATTAAACAAATTAAATAATTTGTTTAAAAGAATTAAGCAATCACATGCAGTGTCTGCAGTGAAGAAATTAGGCGCTTTAGGAACACATAGGAAAGTAACTCATCTAGCCTTGGGTGGGTGTCATCAGAGAGATTTGGAGGAACTGACATAAGGAGAGACCTGAAGGAGTAGATTTAAGCAGGTACAGAAGAGTGGCCATTGTGAAAAGAGCATCCCAGACAGACAGAAGAGGGAAGAGGGAGAGCTTTGGCACATTTAAGGAGCCAAAAGATGCAGGTCTTTCTGGAGTGTAAAGTGTGAGGAGAGGTGGAAAGTGAAACCTGTGTCCAGAGAGGCGAGCGGGGACCAAATCATAAGGATTTTCTTGCTATGATAGAGTTTGAACTCAATCCCAACAGCAGTGGGGAACCACCGAACAGTTTAAAAAGCTTGTCAGCTATCACTTTTCTATGGAATATAGAGAAATCAGGGAAAGGGTCAGATAAAGCCACACCCAAAAACTAACCCTTGAAAGCAGACTCCAGAAGGAGACATTCAGAGGGGGAGGGCCAAGCACACGGTGGGGAGGGAGCACAGTGGACCATGGTGGGGGGAGCAGAAGGCGAGGATCCCAGACTTCCAAAGTACAAACAACAGTGTAAGCCAGTGTGACCTCAAAAAAATCATTAAACAATAATGTGCTGCTCGGATACTTACCTGAGAAAGATCACTAGGCCTGCCTTTGCGAGTGGGTTGGGAAGAGGCCTGACTCCTGCAGGTGCACCCACGGCCTCTCCACTCTGGCTCTTGGTTCATATTGTAGTGTGCCGTTTGAAGTTCCCAAGCTGAAGGGTGGAAAGAACACGCTGGAGGCTGAGAGTGAGAGTCTAGACAGCTATACAGCTGACTCGGATAGCATCTCCAGGTGAGAGCCCCCCATTCCTTGTACCTCTGCTCTGCCTGGGTTCCCCAGCTTCAGGTGGACCGGTCCCTATGCCTTCAGGGTTCCTGACTTCTGCCCTCGAGAAATTGAAGGAAAGATTTGCTCTGACCTTGGTACAAGTCTTTGAGAAGCACTTCTGCTGTGGCTGTGAGCACAGCCTCCTGGAAGAGGTTGACTTCCTTAGGCTGCTGCGCTGTCCCAAGATTCCTAGACCAGCAACAACTGATGTGCTCTTCCTTAGGAATGGGGGGTGTGAGTATTTGTGTTTGCTTAGCTGATCGTCCACATTCCTTCAAGGTTAATCAGATGTGATGTTTACCTTCTGGATTTGCTTCCTACAGTAACCCCAAGCCAGCAACTCTTCTTCCCATACAGCCCGTGTTCCCGGATAAAGGGGGAAGGGGGAAAGTTGACTGATATAATTTCTCTCTCTACCTCCAGGAGAGACTCTCTAGATAAATCTGGCCTCTTTCCAGAATGGAAGAAGATGTCTGCCCCCAAACCTCAAGTAGAAAAGGCAAGCTCTAGTTTATGGGTACCATCACCTCCTCATCCCCCTCCCCCTCCTCCGTCTCCCACTCTCCTTTTCTTCCTCTTTCACTTCCTCCTCTCCCTCCTTCTCCCTCCCAAGAATTTCAGTGAAGAATTGAATTAAATTTCAGTTGAGATTCACCTGAGAGCATTTTCTAAGGTTTTGGTTGAAACATGTAAGGAAAATATGTTTTGTACTCCTTCATATACATGAAAAGCTTTCCTTTGAGGGCGTCGTAGTTTAATGAAAATCTGAGCCTTAATCTTCTTAAGGCTCTCCTCCTTTACTCCATCCTCCCGCCTACCCAACTGCCCTTTTCCATTTCCTTGCCCCTATTCCTTCCTAGGACACTCAGCCTGGAGGTCAAAATGTGGTATCTATTGATGAGGGTGAAATGATCTTCAAGAAGAACACTAGAAAAATCCTCAGGCCTCCAGGTAGCTGGTTTCCCTTTGTGGCTTATTGAGATTAAAATTCTGAGTACCCGTGCTGGGCTCTTGGTGTGGAGAAGAATAGGTTCTCTCTAACAATGGTTTTTGGTCTTCTATTCAGAATATACTAAATCTGTGATCGATCTTCGCCCGGAAGATGTGGAGCATGAGGGTGGCTCCTTGGGAGACAGAAGCAAATCAGTCCCAGGCCTCAGTGTAGATATGGTAAGTACCTTTGCCTCTCCCTTGTCTATATTGCAACTTTTATATATGTAGAGCTGACTTTAGTATCCAGTACTCTCAAGCAACCTGTGTAATTCTTTAGGGAAAGGTAACATGAACCTTGATTCCTCCAAATTTCTAAAGTTAAAGTGGCTGCTGATTTGCTTAAAGAAAAGGACTGTCTTCACTGTCTCTGCTTCCTAACATATTGCTAGTATGTCATTGGGGGTGCACATAAATACTTATTTTGATGAAAATGTAAAGGGATTGGCAGGTTGGGAGTCAAATGGGAGAGAGATAAACTAATCTTATTCTTTCAAGATTTCCAAGAGATAGTTGGAATTCAGTTTTGGCAGCCTGAAATGGGGAGACATAAAAATAAGGATACGCGGGCCTCCCCTGGTGGCGCAGCAGTTGAGCGCTGGGCTGCGAAGCTGCCCTCAGCCTCTGTAGCTCCGGTTCGATCCCTGGCCGCCTGCGAGGGTCCCACATGGCACACAGATCTCTCCTGCTGTGCCCGCTCAGCAGTGTATTTCGTCAGTCTGCCTGCTCTGTTCCCCGCTCTGGCTCTGGTGAATTCTCTCACCCTCCTGCGCTTCTGACTGTACCCAGTACTTGTATAAATAAATAAATAAATATTAAAAAAAATAAGGATACACACATATATGTGAACATGATGTCTCAGCGCTTAGCAACAGTTAGGATTCCCACTGGAGGAAGGATCTTAGTCTTTGAACTTTTTCCCTGGTTTTATTAACTGGGCCTATATTTATTCTTCAGGAAGAGGAAGAGGAAGAAGAAGACATTGACCACCTGGTGAAGTTGCATCGCCAGAAACTAGCCAGAAGCAGCATGCGAAGTGGCTCCTCCATGGTAAGTTCTAAAAGTTCTGTGGCTATAGACATGTTGGATACCAGGAAGGAAGGAAGGCCCTCCCTCAAGCAGAGTGAGGAGCTGGCGAAATCATCCTAGTCACTCTTCCCGGGTACGTGAGATGTATTTGCTTGTTCCTATCTGCAGGTTGATTAGCACACATCTAGCTGACTTCCTCAGCCTCTGCTCTTCAGAGTCTTATGTCACATCATTTGTGCTAGAGACGTTCTTCATCATAGCCTTGTGAACAGTCACCCTTAACTTCACCCTTTAAGGGATACCCAGGCCATGAAGTGAGCTAGATCAGATTTCTTCATCAGAGCGTGCCCCAAATCTCACATTAAAAAGTCATGCATTGGGGAATATAAAAATAAAAATTAAAAATTAAAAAAAAAAGTCATGTGTGTCATGAGAAGGGCCCCAGCACACTTCATTGGCTTCAGGGTGTGATTAAGGAGCAACAGTATAGTAGAAACATGAAGTTTAAAGGGACGTTTCCCAATCACAGCCTGGTTCTGTCGTAAGTATGAAGATTGATGTTTGGGGAGATAAGAGTCAGAAACCAGGGTGATTATGGTTAGTTCCTGCTTACACACAAGACGAGAATGGCAGGTTTGTAGAACTTACTACTACCTGAGAGGAAGATGTCTTTTTACCACTGCTGGGGGTCTCCCCCTGATTCTGATCTAGTCACTTTTCTCTATAGATCTTGACAAGGATAAGGTGGATTAAAGATAATCAAAGCACCTTATCTTTTTTTTAATTTGTCAGTACGAAGGCACCTAACTTAAATGAGTGACTAACGTACATTTTAGCCTATAGAGTGCATGTTCAAAATGGAACCTTACCTTCTTAGCTGAACCTTACCTCTCCCTACTCCTTGTCCACCCTTTGGGCGGGGCAAAAAGTAACAAAATGTATGAAATGAGTGGGAGAAGAGAAGCTAACAGCCGAGGTTAGGCACGAGCTGATTGATTTATCAACGTGAACAACTGTGAGTGTGCTTCCAGCTTTTCCGTGTGTTCTAGGTGCGAGACTGTTGACAAGACTGGGTTATGGTATGGGCTTCTGAAACATTTGTGGCTTTATCATGAGGGGGAGATGTGCACCATGTGGCAGGGGGAGTATGCCTTCCCCAGATGTTTGTGGTGCTTTATCTTCAGAGTACAATCGGCAGCATGATGAGCATCTATAGTGAAGCTGGTGATTTTGGGAACATCTTTGTGACTGGCAAGATAACCTTTTCCCTGAAGTACGAGCAGCAGACACAGACTCTGGTCATCCATGTGAAGGAGTGCCACGATCTGGCCTACGCTGATGAAGCCAAGAAGCGCTCTAACCCGTGAGTGCTTCTGGAACCCGATGGATGCTCTGAGAGCAGGGCTCAGACCCTGGCATCTCTCCGGGCACCCTTGGATCGAGGCTATCACTTCCTGGAGGAGCAGGGCGGTGTGATGGAGAGTGGTTAGACGAGATGTGGGAAAGGACCAGGATCGGGAAAACACAAGAATGGCGCATCTAAGGGGGCTTGAAGTGACATTTTCATTTCATCATGGCACATGGATATGAGGAGCAGGAGTAATGAATGGAGTGGGGAAATGAGGAGAGATGACGAAGTACTCTCTCTTTGCTTTCTAGATATGTGAAGACTTATCTTCTGCCTGACAAATCACGCCAAGGAAAAAGAAAAACCAGCATCAAGCGGGACACCATCCATCCGCTCTATGATGAGATCCTCAGAGTAAGTATCTGGATCCTGAGGGCAGGAGAATTTGTGCCCTAAACTGCAACTGTTTTTCGGTGACATGGCGGGTTGGCCTGGGTTTCAGTGTCTGGGATACACTCTGGGTATCTGTTCACATCCTGACCTTCCAGAGAAGGGAACAAAGGGGATCTGGCTTTCTTGGATTGTTGTCAAGTCGGAGATTCACGTGGCCACAGACTTCATTTTCAAAATTCATTTGGCATAAGGAGGCTTCATGGAAGCTCTTTTTGTTCCAGTGTTCTCTTACCCACTCAAGGAAAAATAAATGAATTTTCCGGGTCCTCCTGTGGAATATGGTCGGTTTTTGTGAAATGGGGTAAGTTGAAGATCTGAGTGAGGAAACTCAAAATGCTTAGGGATTAAAGTAATTTTATATTCAGGACTTTGGACTTTCGGTATGTTTGCTCACATTCTTGAAAAATCTTTTCTGCAGAATTACCACCAACTAATTATGTTGGGCTTCTTTTCCTTCACAGTATGAGATCCCAGAATCTCTCCTGGCCCAGAGGACATTGCAGTTTTCGGTTTGGCATCATGGCCGTTTTGGCAGAAATGCTTTCCTTGGAGAGGCAGAGGTCCAGATGGATTCCTGGAAGCTTGATAAGAAACTGGATCATTGCCTCCCTTTACATGGAAAGGTAGTCTGCTTTAACAACTCCTTACAGTTTGGTTCTGAGGTAGAATTGTCTGCAGTGACCTCTGGTGGTCCATGCTGGTTAGTACCTTTGAACATAATCTTATGCAGGGTTCCAGCGCACTCTGCTGGGGTTTCTGAGCTTGACAGTGATTTCAGATGCACTTGTATGTCAAGTGCAGGTAATGTCTACTGTGTAGGCCAGGCAAAGGATGAAGCCATGGGTTTCCTTTGGAAAGTCTTTCATTTGTGTGCCAAGCTTTGCCTCCTAACCTTCCAGAGTCTGGGTGTATCCTAACATACTAACTTGCACTTCTCTCCAAGCCAAGCTTTGGAATGTATCCTAAACTGCACTCCTTTTATAAACTATCCTTTTCACTGAAGAAGTGAGAAGTACAGCAATTCATGGAGTTTCAACTACTGCGCTCTTGGGCAGGGACAATTTTACTTTGGAAATGGCACCTCAATTGATAGTGTAGAAGTGTGCATAATAGTGCCTGGGATCTGAGTGCAGATCTGGATTTGAATCCTGTTCTGTTATTTGCCAGCTAGGTAAGTCACCTAACTTATTAAAAAAAAAAACAACTTAGGTAAGTCATCTCACTTCCATGAGTCGAAGTTTCTTTATATAGCAAATGAAGAGAATGATAATATTCCTTTTTTTCAGGATTGTGTACAGAGTACCGATCTATGCCTCACACATAAAGGACATTTAATAGGTTACTGTCATTTTGGTTAAGATAAAATTGCTAAAACAGAGTTAGGATTCTTGATTATCAGATGTGTTCAATTGCAAGGTTCTTCTGTAAATTTTTTTTACACTAGCATTTTATTTATTTACTTTTATACACTAGAATTTTATTTATTTATTTATTTATTTATTTATTTATTTATTTATTTATTTATTTATTTATTTATACAAGCACTGGGTACAGTCAGAAGCATGGGAGGGTGAGAGAATTCATGGGAGGGTGAGCCAGAGCGGGGAACAGAACAGGCAGACTGAGGAAATACACTGCTGAGGGGAGCAGCGGGCGCAGCAGGAGAGGTCTGCGTACCATGTGGGACCCTCGCCGGTGCCCGGGGATCAAACCGGCATTGCAGAGGCTGCGGGTAGCTTTGCAGCCCAGCGCTCAACCGCTGCGCCACCAGGGGAGGCCCTATACACTAGAATTTTAAATGCTAAAAATAGTACTTGGTGCATAGACTGCCTTTGGAAAGGTAGACAAAAGACATAAAGGGAGCCTCTAGGAAGGAAGACTGAGGTAGGAGGGTGATTTTGTTTTCTCTGTATGCCCTTCTTTAACATTTGGATATTTTTTGCTATGTCTATGCATATTGCTTATTAAGAAAATTAAGGCTGTATGTGCACATGGTTCAAATTAAAACAACATTGAAGTGTATAAAAAGAAATGTAGGTTCGATTCCCTGGGGTGGGGGCAGAAAACACTGTTATCTACTGCTTGGATATCTTCATACTTTTATACTAAGCAACCTGAATGTCCATGTATGAGTTTATATTTTACTTTTTACACAAATAGGCTCATATGAACCTCATTGTGATTATATATCTCTCTTACTTCTTTTTTTCTCTTAACACTCTATCATGGATATCTATACTGTTGCTTACAGATCTCTACCTTATTTTCAGTGCTGTGTAGTATTCTTTCATGTGCCTGTGTGGTAAATGATAATTCATTTACCATTCCCACATTGATGGGCATTTAAATTGTTTGCTTTTTTGCTATTAAAACTGTGCTGTAATAATCTGAACCTTCTTTTGTGATTGTAACTCTAGGAGAAATTTCTGGTGGTGGAATTGATGAGTCAAAGGAAATGTACATCCAGTATTTTGATAGCTACTGCCCTTCAAAGAAATAATAACAACATTAAATCAGTCCCTTTAAATATAATAAAGCAGGAGAACAATTATCACTAAATTCTAACATATTATTAGACAATTAGACTTTTTAAACTATTTGTCTCATGGGCCTGTAGGGGCCTACATAATTTGATATACTTATATTGGAAATATCACTGTGAACTATTATGAGCTACTACCAATAAAAAGGCCTTACATCAAAGGGGAAAAAATACTGCATTAAAATGGAGGTATTTGCTTTTTGAAATTATACTGAGCCAGAATGAACATAATAACTAAAACAAATATGGCATTTCCCAGTAAATGCTAAGCTCCAACTTTTCAGAGTGCATTGAGTTCACAATCTAGACATCAACATATTATGTAGACATTTTATAAATAGCTGAAAGACCTCTTCAGGATTACATACCTAATTTAACTTAAAACATTTTATATTTATCATCTCTGATTTTTCTGTTTAGCCCTGGCAATCCATTTGCTTCTGAACTCAGTTTTCTCTTCCTGACATCCACCTCCCAATCCTTTTGTCTCTCTCCTACTTACTAAACTTTGTGCCTCCTGGGCATGTGGTACATTTCTCCAAGCGGATAGGGATTATGCCTTCCTGGCCTGGGTATCCTCAGTAGTGAGGGCTCGGTAAGAGCAGCCCTGGTGAACACTGACGGGTGGAAGGGCACCCCCAGCATGTTCCAGCTCATGCTCTGGTAAAGAGCAGAGCCATGCTAAGAGCAAGTAGAGAGAAGCAGTTCCACTGCCCACAACCAGAGATGATAGGCTGCTTGCTGCCCTCCCCAGACATTCGTTCACTCTTGCATTCATTCAGGAAGTATTTGTGGAGCACCTCCTATGTGCCAGGCACCTCCCCAAATGTCAGGCATACCAGGATGAACAAAAATAGGCCTGATTTGTATTCTCCTGGCACTTAGATTCTAGTGGTAAAGACAGATATATTTGCCAAAAGTAACAAACACATGTAAAATGAAAAATTGTGGCATGTTCAAATCCTCGCAACAGAGTTCCACCTAGCCTTCAAATCTTTGCAAGCTCTCTTTTTAAAAACATATTTATCTTTGAAAATCAGACAAATGTTGCATGCCATTCTGATGAGAAGACAGGAGAGATATAAACAGCGTTAAAAGTAAAAGCCTGCTATGGTCTCCTATTCTGCTCCCCTCCGTATAAGAAACAAGTATTACATTTGTCTGTATCCTTCAGGGTTTTTCTATACAGTGTAGTATACTGGTTAAAGGTATAGACTCTAGAACCATTTGGTCTGATTTTTGAATCCTGCTGTTGCCAATTACTAACTGTGTGACGTTGGGCAAGTTGCTTAACCTCTTCTGTTCCATAACCTGCAAAATGGGAATAATGGTACCTATCTCATAGGGACTATCTTGAGGATTAAACAAAATGATATAATTAAAGCATGTGTAACAGTGTCTGGCACATAGTGAGTGCTATATAAGTGATAATATTGTAATAATTATTTATATACATAAATATTCTCATGCACAGATACAGATACATCTTAAAGTAAGTGGGAAGTTTTGTCTGTGCTTTGTTGACTTATCTACACATCTTGGCTAGCTTTCCATGTCAGCACATGCAGATTCACTGATTGTTCTTGATGATTGCATGCCATAGGCCCTTTGAAAGCACTGAAGTTATTTAATGGAGCCTCTCATTTAATCTCTCCTATAATGATTAATTTTAGTTTATTTATACTTTTTGGCTATTACTAACAATGCTCATATGTTGTCAGTCCCTGATGTGAATGGTAGCCTTGCTGAAGATCTTTGAGGGTATGTGAAATCTAGTTACTGAATTCCCAAAGCAGCAAAATACTGAGCACTGGAGAAGACCCTTTGTTAGTTCTTCTGCAGCTCCTTCAGCAGAAACTGCCTTAAAAACTTGTAGCTATGATAGCCTTGGGACCCTGGATTGCATTCATGAGTAGAAGGATTTCCCTACACATGAAGCTGTGCTTGGGGTGATTTTAGAATCTGCTCAGCAGGAGGTTCCAACAACTCCTGAGAAGCCCAGCTTGACCTGTTGGGTTTGCCTGTGTTTCAGATCAGTGCTGAGTCCCTGACTGGCTTGCCATCACACAAAGGCGAGTTGGTGGTTTCATTGAAATACATCCCAGCCTCCAAACTTCCTGTTGGAGGTGACCGGAAAAAGAGTGAGTTTTCTTTGGGGCCCTGGATTTAGCACTTAGTTTTTCTGCACTGGATCTGTGTGAGGTAGTGCCAGCCAGTGGCTAGTGCTGTTGGAGAAACCAGATTGAGATGCATCCTGGATGATTCATCCCCTGGATCAGCTCCTAGTAAAGAGTCTTTTACTAAGTGCATCCTTTTCTGCAACCTTTAACCAGAAGAAATGCCTTAGGCTGGCATTCCTTTTTTTTTTTTTTTTTTTTTTAGATCATTAAAGCCTAGTAGCTGTGGCAAGCTACTAAGAGGGCAGATCAGAACAGAAACTTAGGGGCTAAGGAAGGGTGGTTAGAAGGGGTAGTGAGGTATGAGGGACAGAGTCGAAAGCTGAGGAAGAGTAAGTCCTAACATGGCAGACACTGTGCTAGGGACTAAGGATATGTAGATGACTAAGACACGCTGCCCTCCTTTACAGAGCTTAATTTAACCAGAAGATAGTCATTGCTAAAGGAGCGCAGATATGGGAATGATAAATTCTGTCTGGTTATAGTTGGGGGAGCATTAGAGAGGAAATGATGAGGAAACTGGACTTACAGCTGTGCCAGGCAAGAAAAAGATAGAGGACTTCTGGAAGAGGAGATAGCCTGAGCGAAAGTTTTGAGAAAGGCATGGTATGTGTGGATTGTCTATGAGCGTGAGGGAATGAACTCCTTATTTCAGTGGTGCTGGAACAATGGTACATGTGTGGGAGTGGGGCTAGCACTGGAGATGAGGTCAACTGAAAAGGGCCTTGAACATAATGGTAAGGAGTTGAACTTGGTCCATTGGCTATTGAGCCAAGGTTCTTAAAATGATAGTGACAGCAAAGCGTAAGCTAAAAGATTTGGGGAGTCAATAAGATCCCCAAGAGGGTATATGGAATAACCAGAGAAGAGAGACAAGCATAGAACTGTATGTAGGGAACAGCAACTTTTTAAAGGATGAAGAGAAGAAGAAAAGCCAGTGAAGTCTAGAGGGCCATCAGGAGAGAGCAGTGCTGGGAGCGAGACTTGTCCATCCTGTCGGTATACTAATTGGAGGCCGGTCCTGAGGAAGACTGAGAAGACGTGGTTCATAGGCATTAGATTATATTTTCAGTGGAAGCAGAAGCTGGAAACTAGTCTGAATGAATGAGGCAAAGAAGTAGAGGTGGTGAGTGTGGACTATTTTTTTCAGGATAATTGATTGCTAAAAAAGAAGAGATATGGAGAATAGCTTGAAGAGAAGATAAGGTTGAATGGAGATTTTCTTTTAGAAGGATTATTTGAAAAGAAGAGATGAGGTTAGCACATATTTAAATGGAAGGGATGGGGCCAGTGGAGAAGAGATACAGGTTTCTCTCGCTATCTGAAAGTAGAACATTCCTATTTGGTATGACTTAGTAGTTTATTTTGGGAGTCTGGGAGAGCTGTTACCATTAAGTTATATAGAAAAATTATTAACACTCCCAGGCCTCCAAAAATAACCTACCAAATCACCAAATAGGAACATTCTACTTTCAACTAGTGGGGGAAACCTGTATTAAAAATGGGTGAAGGGTGTTGAAATTGGTGATACCCAAGGAGTTCTATCGAGAGGGGATGACATCATAAACACAGGTAGAGGAATTCCCTCTTTTTCAGTCATTCAACAGCATTTATCTATAAAATGAAGACAGCAACTCATAGGGTCATTTTGAGAATTAAGTGCTTAATGTGGAATTTGACATAGCCCCATTTTCAATAAGCATTTGTGGCTATTGCTGTTGTTATTAATTGAACACCTATTGCTTACTGGCAGACACCATGCTAGATACTGAGAATACTAGTCAGGTGTGTTGTCATGGAGCTTCCTGCCTTCAGGAGCAAAAAGGGAAGTGCTATGTAGGTAAAGCTCCAGAGAAATCCAGAGGTGTAGGGACTTACTTGCTATGGCTGACATCCCTTGCAGGTAAAGGTGGGGAAGGGGGAGAGCTCCAGGTGTGGATCAAAGAAGCCAAGAACCTGACGGCTGCCAAATCAGGAGGGACTTCAGACACCTTTGTCAAGGGGTGAGTCCTTGGACCAGCACCAAACTAACCAGTTTCAGGCCAAGAAAGCTAAGAAAGGACCCTGATTTAACCTCTCTGTGAAGGTTCTCATATGTCCAACTACCTCCAGCACCCAGGTAATTTCATTACCTGAAATTAGGTAATGGTAAAATCTCCACTGCCACGTTTGCACTGGTCTTAGCTCAGTTTGGACTGGGCTGAAGTATTCATTTCAAAGAGGAGAGTAGGTAGACAGATAGGTCTGACTTCTTCCTTTATTGTAGATTTGTGCTTTTTTTTTTTTAAAGATTTATTTATTTATACAAGCACTGGGTACAGTCAGAAGCGCGGGAGGGTGAGAGAATTCACCAGAGCCAGAGCGGGGAGCAGAACAGGCAGACTGACGAAGTACACTGCTGAGGGGAGCAGTGGGCACGGCAAGAAGATCTGCGTGCCATGTGGGACCCTCACCAGCGGCCGGGGATCAAACCGGCTCTGTGGAGGCTGCAGGCAGCTTCGCAGCCCAGCACTCAACCACTGCACCACCAGGAAGGCCCGTAGATTTGTGCTTTTAATCCCAAATAAAAATCACTTCCCCCAACTGTCAAAGCTTGGGAACTCAGGTCTTTGTCCCTGACAATATTTAAGCAGCGCCAGCTTCCTCCAAATTATAAATCACCTCCACTAACCTAAGTTCTCTAGAAAATTGTGTTTGGCTCTGCCTGTAGTTACTATTATTGGTCTTATTTAAAGAGGACATGGCCCAGTGAAACCAAATACTTAAAACCCATTTTTGGTTTTGGTAACAGTTCACTAATAACATTATATTAATTTTTCCCTCCTGATTTAAAGGAATTGAATTAGGTTAAGACTGGAGTGGGGGCAGTAGGAACTGTGCTTCAGCAGATTCAAAGGAAGGAGTGTGTGTACTAGGATCTGAGTGTTGACTCACCTTCCTGAGCTAGGCCTGTGGTAGGGGAAAGGGGAATTTAGATAGGCCTTGCTAGCTTTGAGTAGATTGTTGATTACTCCCCACCCTCTGCCAGATACCTCCTTCCCATGAGGAACAAGGCCAGTAAGCGTAAAACTCCAGTGATGAAGAAGACCCTGAATCCCCACTACAATCATACATTTGTCTACAATGGTGTGAGGCTGGAAGATCTACAGCACATGTGCCTGGAACTGACTGTGTGGGACCGGGAGCCCCTGGCCAGCAATGACTTCCTGGGAGGGGTCAGGCTGGGTGTTGGCACTGGTGAGCGCCTCTCCCCCTTCTTCCTGCTCTTGTAATGGCCTCTTGTATCTTTCACTTCCAGTCTGCCCATTCCCTTCCCTACACAGCTACTCTATGACAAGAGTTCTCTTCTTTCCTTTCAGTTAACACACAACCAATATTTACTGAGTGCCTACTATGTGCCAGACTGAGGCAAAGGCCAAGTTTACACACTGTTACATGTACAGATAAATGTGACCCTCATTGCCTGGAATGCCATCATATTCCCACCCCCTGGAAATCTACAAACCTACCTATATCTGTACCCATACTTGCCATCTTCCATCCTGTTATAATGAAAGAAGGGGCCTTTCTAGAAAGGCCAAGCTCTTTCCAAGTGTTCTGGATCACATCCTCACCTTTTCAGTGACCTCGCTACTATAATCTCTCTTTCTCTTGTTTGAGCAGTTTCTGTATCTCTCTCTACTGGAGATGAATACAGATTTGCTCTGGTATTTCCAGTCTTAAGAAACAGAAATAAACCTTTCTCGTACCCCCTGCCCGCCCTCTCCCCCTCTGGGTTTCTTAAAACAAATTGTCTCCACTTCCTCACCTCTTGTGTTGTCCTCAGTCCACTGTGACCTGGGCTCTGTCCCACCCCTCCTCTGAGCGATGGCTTATGCCAAAGTTTTGTGTTCATTTTACTAGCTTTTTCAACACCGTTTAACACAGCTGATGACTTCCTTGTGCTTGAAAGATGTAGTTTCTATCCATATTGCTCTTCTTTGTGAGTTCCTCGTTCTCTGCCCAAACTTTAAATATTGGTGCTTCTCAAGGCTTAGTATTGAATCCTCTTTATTTCCCTATCTAGTCTCTGCATTCATACAAAGCATTTAGCACAAAGCATCTAGAATGATGCTCTCACAAAAGGAAGCCAGTGAATTTCAGTCTCCTTAGAACCCTTCTGTCAGTGGCTTCTTGAGCTTAGAAAATAACCCTAACCATGCCTGCAGACCCGGCTGTAATCTGGACCCTGTTCTTTTATGATCCATCTGGTGTCACTCTCATGTGCTCACCATGCTCCAACTGCAGTGGTTTTCTTTCTGCTCTCCGAACACACCAAGCTGGTGTGCAATTTATAACTTCTGCAATTCACATTCTCTCTGGAAAGACTGACTCCTTCCCGTCCACCTTTAGGAGACCTTCATCGAGGCACAGCTGTCCCCCTAGTTATTTACTTTCTGACATTTGCTTCACTATGTGAAATATGCCCGTTGATTTAAATTGTCTTCCCTATTCAAATGTAAGCAGGCAAGACTTTTTTTTTTTTTTTTTTGGCTTTGGTCACTGCTGTATCTGCAGAGCTTAGAAGAGTACTGGCACACAGTAGGCCCTCAGTAAATGTTTGTTGAATGGATGACCGTACAAGAGAATAAAAATGAGGCTACATAGAACCTGAACTTCAGTCCTGGAGTCTACAACTCCAGGGTGTAGAACCATCCAGGTTCTGGGTGGTTCCAGAGGACAAGAGTGACTAGAGAAGAATGTGTTCAGCTTTTTCTCTTAAAAAAAAAAAAAAAAAAGAAAAAAGCTTAAGCTTGACAAGAACAGAAGGGCAGGCACTCTGGCATGAGGTGTCAGACAAAGAAGAGCTCTAGAACAGCCACTGAATCAGAGGTCTCTAGCTGCTGTGTGCCTCTTAAAGTCCCAGTTCATCAACCTCACATCTCTTGATAGTCTCAGGAACCCAGAAATAGCTGTTCAGTGAGGAGCAGTTTGCAAACTGTGCCCCAATCGGCCCATCTTTGTAGAGCTCTGTCTCTTCAGCTGTCTAACCATCTTTCCTGGTGGGCTAAGGAGTGGGGTACCTGTTCAGCCTGCTCTGGTGTTTCTCCTCAGGGATCAGTAATGGGGAAGTGGTGGACTGGATGGACTCGACTGGGGAAGAAGTGAGCCTGTGGCAGAAGATGCGACAGTATCCGGGGTCTTGGGCAGAAGGGACTCTGCAGCTCCGTTCCTCAATGGCCAAGGAGAAGCTGGGCTTATGAGTCCCTGCCCTTCTCTGCGGGTCCAGCCCTGACCAGGGCAATTGAGAGGAAGCGAAGAAACCAAGAGCGAACATTTATAATTTCATGTGTGTGTGATGTATGTGTGTGTACAAACTTGTATTTCTACACATCTAGCTGCCAAAGTGATGCAGGCTTTCTCCCTCTTAAAGCAGGCGCGAGAATGAGGGTCTCTTGAAAATGTTTTTATTTATGCAAAATCTACCCTATTTTCAGAGCCTTGTCTTGCTTGTATCTTTGTGAGGTTGAATTAACTCTAAAAAACCTTCCAAAACGACTTTTTATCTCCTGTCTTGCTGTCCTTGTTTCCACTTCCCAGGAAGCCCCATTACCTTTGGCATTCACACTTACTTAGAATTCAAAGCGAGCCCAGCTCTGGGAGGCAGAGTTGGGTTGCTGGAGAGAGAACGGGGAAAGAGGGGTGTGGGTCCTCGCCGTCATCTCCAGTGTATGTCTGCTTTCAGCTCATTTCCTACCTTGATAAATTTCTGGAACTTGGCTTTTGTTTTGTTTTTAACTAATGTCTACCTTGCTTGGGGTCTAATGGTTTTCCTTCAAATGCTAAGAATAGTCCTCAATTCCTATCTGTTCTAGACATCTTCACTAGACCTTTGGTGAACCCTTATAATGGGGCTGTTTTAGAAAAGCACTTTAATTAGATAGTGGCCTTTTGATTGAGTCATAGAGATGCCCAGCAAGAGCTTCTGGGTGGTTCCAGAGGACCAAAGTGACTGAGGATGAAGTGTCTCCCAGCCCAGGCTGAATTCTTTGCATTGGAAATGGATACAGCGGTTGTTGGAGAGAAAGATGAGACACTTCACTCGCGTAGCCCCTTAGTCTTGGTGTTCGTGGTCACAGGTAGACACAGAATATGATCTGTGTACTGTTCTCTCATCCAGAATAGCCAAGCACCAAGTCAGCACAGTGTTTCTCCAGGATGGGCATTGTTCATGCCCCAAGAGAATGCATTCAGGGAATCTCCCAGTTTCTCTGACTTCTTTCTTGCAGTGGTTTCAGTTTCTGTTCTTTCCTCAACTTGGCCCAGAAGAGTAGTGTGTTGAGAGCTTTCTAAAAAGGGCCTAGTGTTCTGAGGCTCCTTTTCTGATACATGTTCCTCTAAACTGACCTTTCTATTCTTACAAGTATATGTACACAGAGTGGTTTGTGAGAGGAGTGTATACTGGTGAAGAAATCCCTTTCAGCAGAGTCAACTAGTTGACTCTCCTATTAGGCCACTGGGCTGAGAACAGCTATGGAGGTTTCTAATGAATGTGTGAACTGAATGGAGGGGAGTTTTTAAAAGGTGTATTTGGTATAGATTACTACTGTAATGGAAGGCATAACCTGTAATCCTAGACTGTAACTTGCTCCTCTGTTGTCTACCCCCTGAAATCCTGAAATGAATGTGTGCCCCCTCAATAAAAGCTTTCTCATTTGTCAAATGTTTGTTTGCACTTGTCAGTTCTATCAATGCTTTTGTCTCCATGTCCTGACTTACTGTTGTTGCTTTTCATGTGGCTTGAAGGATCAGAATGAGTGTGACACCTTTCCCTAACCATCCTGTGCATATTCAGAGAACATTTGCCTTTCCCCACATTGCTATCTGATACCTCCACTCCCTTGCCCTTTGTGTCTGGTGTCTAGAGAGTTACTATCCATACCCACCCACTCCTACCACCCTGTGCATGTTTCTTTCTGGATCTTTCCATTTCTATAGGAGATAGGACCTTTCTTTTTCTTTCACTCCTATTACCAGTATTTAGTTTTGAGAGATAAATGATGCTGATGCTAGGTAACCCATCTCAGAGATAAGACTCTGGGTTTCTAGTAGAACAGTAGTGATTCTTAACCTCTTAGGCAAAAGGGCATGAAAAGTTTGAATTCCTTTTGTGTATAAGACTTTATGCTAAGCAATTATATATATTATTTCCTTAATTTCTCCAAACACCATCTATAGTTGGAAAATTTTCTTTTTTGCACATGATGAAAGTCAAGCCCACTGTCATACAACAGAGTTTGGGTTTGAATGTGACTCTCCTGTACCATGCTGCCTCCTGTGAAGGTGATGTGTGTTATGGGCAGAGATTCAAAGGAAGGGATGACTTCTAAAATATCTCAAAGAAATACGTTTAGTTTACAAAGTAGGACAATCAGAATGCTTTGAATGTGAACTAATCAACTTACTGACTGAACAGCTTCTGTGTGTGTGTGTGTGTGTGTGTGTGTGTGTGTGTGGTGGGGGGCAAAGAGGGGTGTGGGCTAACCCCCTTTGGTCTGGCTGTGGACCTGATGTTGCTGCTGACCTTTAGAAGTTGGAATGTCTTGAATCAGTCTGCAAAAGAGGTTACAACCACTTTACCCAAAGCAAGATTGATGTGCCTTGACTACTCAATAAAATGAAACTCAACAAAAGCTCCTTGCCTTTTTTTTAAGCTGGGGGAGCATTTATATGTGAGAGTCAGACCTGGGGGGACCTCTGTTCAGGAGACAGCGAGCCGCCTCATGTCATCGTCCGGGCTTCGGCCTGCTAGCTTGCACTTGGTGTTAGTGATAAAGACAGGGAAGTCAGTCATCTTGCCTAATGGTCAGTCTTTGCCTTTGGAACAACAGCTCCTGTCTGACCGGAGATTTCCCACATGAACTCATATTTTGCCTTCTGCCCATAACTTGCCTTTTGCCCATCATAGTGTCTGTATTTCCCTGGAGGGAAGAGGGAAAAGGGACCTAACTTTTTGCTCCAAGTTTGATTATTTCTTCTGTGTTTCAGTCCCCCCCCCCCAGCAACTGCCTAACTTTTTATCTTGCATTTTTTAAAAGGGATTTCTACAAAAATCCCAGTGGAAACAGCTTCTCTCTGACTCACTATCACCCCCATATGTTCTGGGCTCGTGATTTATGTCCCATTACTCTGCTTTGGAGAGTGGCTTTTCTTGAGTTGAAAACCTTTCATTTTCCTTTCCTCCTGGGCCCACTCTGAGCCTTGTGTGTAAGAGGCATTATAGAAGATAAAACCTTTTCCCTTGATTGGAGCTGTCAGCCGTCTTGAAATGAAAAGTGGAAAAAGAAATAGAGGCAGCATAGCATAATGGTTAAGAGCATTGACTCTGGCTGCTGGCCTTTAAATCCCAACTCTGGTGTGGCAACATCCTTGGCAGGGGTGACATCCTATACCTCTGAAACATACCCAGTATTGTTTCCTCAATAAAAAAATCACTCCATCCATCCCAACTCTGCCACGGACTAGCTGTTTGATCTCATGCAAGTTGCCAAGCCTCTCTGTGCTTCAACCCCCTGGTCTGTGGAACGGGGCTAATGACAGCGCCTACTCTGTGAAGATTTCAGAGCAACTCAGAGTGTTCAGAACAGTGCCTAGGACATAGTGAGTGCTCTGGTGTTCACAAGTAGCTTTGCTTCTCTACCCAGCCCACTGCCTTCTCCATGTAGGTTTCCACAGATGACACCACACATAAAGGTGACAGAGAGAGACTACTAAGTCTTAATCATGTCACTGGGTTTTGTGAGTATAGAAAAGAATGTTCTCAATAGCAAGGGGATGAATGCTTTTCTTTCAAATACTGAACCACAGGCTTAAATTAAATTTCAGGCCTGCCTCTCAAGGCTCTGCATACCACACTGAGCTCCCCCCCACCCCCATTCTGTGCTCATCTCTTAAAAGTGGAATCTGAGTAAGTTCACGCATGGGCTCAGTCTGGTTTCCTTGCCTGTCTCCATCATTTGGCTCCACAGGGGCTGGTAGTGGTGCTTTTGAGGTTTCCTAGATCACAGTCTGGGGGTATTTCTGACAAAGGAACAGCACCAGTTACCGTTCACTGTGGGAACCAGAGGCTCAGAAACAGATTATTGCCCACGCAGCCAACAAGAAAGGCCAGAAGGCCTTCTGCTCTGGCCTGACTTTCCTTCCCAAGCTCTCTGCCATTGCAGTATTTTGCTAAAGCTTAGATAAAGCCATGGTGGACATAACCCTTGTACCCCGGTGCCCTAAAAGAGGAAATGACAGGTTCAAGAAGGTTTTGAAGCTCCCCCCACCTCCAATGATACAAATAGCCTGCGAGGAAAATTAAGCTACATTTGCTTGTGTCCTGATGGTCATGATGGTGCTGCCCTCTGCTGTCACCTCAGAGTAGAGCGACCATTTAAATCAACCGCTTGGTACAGCAATTTCCCATCCCTTCAGGCACCTTTGCACTTTCTGTGATTTCAGTTCCTCACAGTCAACCATGGTCTAAAATATTGTGTGCACTAAGATATTCTGAGAAAGGGAGAGAGTGCAGATTCACAAAATTTTTATTACAGTATATTGTTAAAATTGTTTCACTTTACTATTATCTCTTCCTGTGCCTGGCTTATAAATTAAAGTTTATCTTAGGGATATACATATAGGAAAAAACATAGTATATAGGGTTAGGTAGTATCCACAGCCTCAGGCATCCACTGGGGGTCTTGGACCCTGTGTCTTGTGGATAAAGGGGTCCATTATATATATCTCGAAAATTTTAGAGAACTGGATAGAGGCACAGCATAGAAAACAAAGACCTCCTACCCAAACCCACTGCCCAGGGCCTGCCCTCAGTCCCTCCCAGCTTCTTATGCTCCTCCAGTGCTACCTAAAGCAGAGACTTGTTTAGCCAAGACATTACACAGCCTTAATAGGATGCCTGGAAATGTCCCCGGACTGGTAAACCTCACCCACCTCAGAGTCTTGTCCCTTATGGGAAACCTACCCCAGTTTCAGCTAACCAAGAAACTTTTCTCACGATTTCAGTCATGCCCTAGTTCAAGTTCACTCGCACACGTCCCTTTGCTCCCGGCGCTGGGCCAGCTCCTGATTACTCAGTAGGTAGTCATCAATGAATGTGAAGATTTCCTCAGGGGTGACAGGTTCCCTGTAGCGTTCCCGGTCAATTCCCTGCTTGTCAATCAACACCATGTTGAAGTAGGAACGAGTGAGGCGCTGAAATTGCCTAGAGAGAGGAGGCCAGAGATGCATGAGGCCTTATTTGGGCTCCCTCCCTCCAGGCTCTAGTGTCTCTTCAAGGCTCTGCTGTTGGACTAGTTCCCACTCCCCCTGGGCCCTTGTCCCCATTTTCTCTACTCATCCTATTGTTTTTCTCTGCCAAAAGCCTTATTTTCCTGCCCCAAGCATGTAGCTCTGCGGACTTCTCCCTTCCTTACCCCAAATGGAGCAATTTGCTCTTTCTAGGCTGCACTTCCACTGTAGGCCCCCTAAGCGGAGCCAGCGCCTGTCACTCTGCAGGTCACAGAGAGTCACTCTGGGGAGCACCGGTAACATCTGCTGTGATATGACTAATGTCTTCCGGAGCTGGGCTGGGCATCGCTGCACAATTACACGTGGCATCCCTGAGCTTGCTCCGTGTCGAGGGTTGGCTCTTCTAGCTATAGCTGCAAGGTGCAGTCTCCTCTCTGAGTGTTTCCCAGTCTCTGCCTGGGGCAGAATCTTTCCATCCCCACTGAATCTGAGCCCTAGAAGCAGTTACTGTTTCTAGAATAGGAGCAGCAGCGCCTTTATTGGCCGTTAGTATATGTGGAGGTATTGAAAGGTTGATACTGAATAGATAAGAAAAGTCAGCTGCTACCAACTGTCACCTATAGTCCTTTTTTTTTTTTCCTACCAGGGGCAGATGTGTGCACGTCACATTTCGGCGTTTAAGATGACTTTTGCTCCACTGGGGACTGAGGGCAAAGAGATAAGTTCATGAGGCCACAGGGTCAGAGGGCTCTCTGAGTAATGTTTGAGTGTAATTGTGTCTCAGCCCTGGTTGTGCTTCAGTGTCACTTGACAGGCCTTAAAAAAACATATTCCTGAGGAGATTCTGGGTGGGGCCTGGTCATCTGAATTTTAAGCTCCGCCCCACTGGGTTCTGATGCCCCGCCCCTGTCTGCTCTTACCTAAGAGTTCAAACATAAGGAGTGCCCTGAGACAGGAGTGTCTGCGGATTCCCCCACAACCTTCTGTTGCCAGCGTCCTGTCTGCCCCTTCCCTGCAGCCCCCACGCCTGAACCTGAGCTCCTCGATGATGTTGGCTGACAGCTGGTGCTCCCGGATGCGCCCCACCTCCTGAGGTGGCTGCCCCACAAGCTCGATGATGGTCACGTGCCGCAGGTCCAGTCCACAGGTGGATTGCTGGGAGGGGGAGAGAATGCTTGACGGCCTAGGCCCCCTCACTCACACCTAAGGCTCTTTAGCTGATGCCCCCTGGGACCACATGAGGCAGTGTGGCAAAGGAGGGGCTTCTCCCCCATCCACCACACCAGTGGGACCTTCAGACTTTTACTCTGTCATTCCCAAAGCACTTGCCCTAACAGTATTTCTCTTAATCTGAGGAAGCATATGAAAACGGTTAGTAGGTGGGGTAGAAAAGAGAAATGTCATTGCTCAATTTCAGCAGGAATATCATCTCTCATCGTTTAGTTTCGCATAGGTTTTAAACTGCACAGGTTCTGAAAGGATGGCTATTGTGATGTCATAAGAATGGGTATTGTTTATTGAACACATACCTAATGCTTTGCAGGAGTAATCAAATTTAATCCTCACAACAACCCTAACAAGGTAGGTGGTATTAATCTTACTCTGTAGGGTAAAAATCTTGCCCAAGTTTCCATGGCAACAATAAGTTGCTGAGTCCTGAATCAAACTGAGGGCTGAAATTGCCTCCCAAGTATGTGTTGCTCCCCACTATGCAGCATGACCAGGTTCTTCTTTCAGTCTCTAGAACTTCTCTAGAATGGTGCCCAGTGGTCTTTTAATTAACCATTGTTGCTTTCCTCACACTGGGCCACCGGACACTCTAAACCCAGCCCTGGCTCTTTGCCTTGCCTTGTCCTGCAGGGGCGCCTTGTGCCAGAGACCCGGGGCCAGGTTACAGAAGTAGCCAGTAGCTTTGGGCTACTCTTCTAGTAGTGACCCTCACCTTGTATCTACTGGCCGGTTCCTATTCCTGTTCTTGCTTCCTGTTCAAGCTGAGTTACCACCTTTGTCTTTCTATTTTGGATCCCTGGAGGAACTAGGTCCTTTATGGTCTAGACACTCAGGGCCATCCTTTTATAAAACTGCTTCCGCCATGAGCTGTCCCAACAGCTCATGAGTATTGACCTGGCAACTTGTAAGAATCAACCTATCAACCTATAGAAACCCATAAATCATTTCTTCCCTTACCTGGGTATCCAGGCCCCTGCAGCTCATCTGAGCTGGTTCTGTTAGTCACATCGGCACACAGTTCTGTCCAAGAAACTAGTATTTTTTTTTTTTGCAAGTTGCAGTGGTCACACCTATTCTGTCCTCTCTCCCTTTTCCCCCACTGGTGCCTTTGGCTAGGCATCTTAAACTGTGCTAAAAATTGTCATGTGACCCCCTCATTTTACT